GTCACACCGGCTGGTCTCTGATGGTCCTTGCTGTGTCTGTGTGGTGGCGTGAAGCCGGCCTCTCTGAACCTCTAGCTGGGCCTCCGGTGCTCGGGGTCGGCCTTTCTAAATGGCAGCCACGTGACGAGCAGATCAACCTGAGACCACCTGCTGCTGCAGCTCTGAGACCGATCAATAATGGAACAGAGGGAGAGAAGCAGCAGAGAGGCTTTTAAGTCCAGTCTGATGAAACACAGCGTTTACTGTAGAAAGTTTAGGGGGAGAGAAAATCTACTGCACAGGATGCTCAGAGGGAATCTGTTGGCTTCTCTGATTATCACGTGTTTCATATGTGTGTAAGATCAGTGCTACATGCATGGATAGATTTTCATTTCTTTTCTTGTATATTATTTTATTTTATTAATTAATTAATTAGTTGGTTAGTTTGTTTATCATCTCCCAAAAACTTTAAAAATGTCGTCTTTATTTTCACCATCTGATCTTTTACAGTGCTGGACTGTCACATGTTTTTAAATCAGCTGGAAATGTCCTTATTTTACACATTTGCTGATTTTTTCCACAGCACAGTGCTCCTCTGTTGTTGTTCTTGTCTTGGTTTTTTACAGTGCAGCGTGTGCGACCCGGTTCTCTTCGGCCGTTCCTGGACTCGGTGCCGTGATTTAGGGGCTTAGAGCTGCACAGATGGTCGCATCAGAACCGTGTCACAGCCAATCCGACCTCATCGCCACCCACAGGTCGCTCAATTAACCTAATTGCTGACAGTTGTCGAGCGAACTTAGCGCAGATAAGTGGTCGTGTGGCCGTGTTAATCCGTCCAGGCAGCATATGGTCCGAGCGGATCTTCAAGCACCGAGATTAGGCTCAAATTAAAAAACTGACAACTGCAGTTAGAGCTGTGATTAAAAAAACTGTCACCTGGAGCCACCTGAGCAGCAGCTGCTCCTACTTCATTCCCTCAGGTCCTCACTGTTTTATCGACTTTTACAAAACACAAAGTTAAGAAAACTCCATCTGACATAAATAAATCAGAATCCGTCTAGTTTGTGACACGTCGACTATTAAAGTCACACAAACGGTTCCTCTGCTGTTTGTTTCTTTACAGCTCAGAAGCCACATTTCAAACTATTTTATATATTTTATGCTCACAGCCACCAGCTCCACATTTAATGTAGTCTCACAGTGAAACAATGAAATCCTGAAAAAAGAAAATAATCTGGCAAATAACAGCAAATATGTGCAAAATAACGACGTGTTTATCTGATTAAAAACAGCAAAACGGTTTAATTTTACAGTGAATGTTGTAAAAGAACAAAACAATTCTTTTTTTTAAAATGTGGATGTTATTTACAGTTTTGGGCTGTTTTTTGTTTTTTTTTACAGTTAACATGGACTTAATTTTTTCTTTTCTGTGATTTTACTCAATATTATCTATCATCTGACAACACAGAGAAAACCTGTGAACCAGCAGAGAAGACTCATGTGTGTGTTTGTTTGTTTGTTTAGTGTCTGGATTCATCTTCTCTGGATCCTGAGAACATTTCATCCTCATCCAGCAGCTTTCTTCCGTTCTGAGCTGAACTATGAACTAAAGAACCGTTCTGGATGAAGGTGGAACATTTATAAGAACCAACAAACTCAAGTTGTTCAGCTGAAGCTTTTAGAATCACATCCGTTTGTTCCTCTTCTTTAACAACAACAAAACCAGCTCAGCGGATAGAATCATCCAAAACGCAGCTTTCTCACTGATAAAGTGAATTCTTGAACACACTTGGATGCATTTTAGTGTTTCCTGTAATTGTTCATGTTAGTAAAACATCTGCCAGAGTTCAGTCACAGGCAGCGAACAAACAGCCAGTAAACATGTTTATAGTAGAATATAACTGTGTTCTCTTTTCTCTCAGGATGTTTAACAGCTCGTAACAGCTACACATCCCATCGGTATGAACAGCACCGTGCAGTAAATGAAGACCTGGTTTCTTACCGTCCGGCTCGTGGTTCCTCTCTGAGGGTTCTGCAGCTCCTCGCTGGTCTGACTGAGAGGTTTAGTCCAGAGAAGAGCTCAACTCCGTCTGTCCCTCCGTCATCGCCGCTGCCTCCTTTTCTCTCCTCCTTCCTCTTCCCCCGCCAGGCCACGCCTCTTTTCCTGCCTCCCTGTTTTGGCTTCTTCCTCCTCCATCTTCTCCTTTTTATCCTGTTAACTATACGCAGCCCTGCCAACATGTGATTTGTTGTGAATGTTTATGTGATCAGCAGGTTTCTTCTGGCTGGAGATGACGTAAAAAAGAAACTAAACTCAGTCAGACATTAAATTATAGAAGTTAATGATGAATTTTGACTGTTTATGTGGTTATTTTTTTATTAATATGTCAAATTAAAATGATTCACATCCGTTAAAAGTGGTGACAAGTTTTGATAAAATGCAGCTTCTGTCTGATTCCAGATGTTCCTGCTGGTTCCACCATGTTCTATCACGTTCTGATC